AGGGGCTGCTGACGAAGACTTAAAGGGGAGGATCTAGGGATGTAGAAGAGGGGCTGCTGATGAAGAAGAGGGGATGGTGACGAACGGATAAAGTAGGGCAGCTGTTGAAGGCTAATGAAGAGGAGGGGCTGCTTTAAAGAGGAGCGGCTGCTGATGAAGAGGAGGAGATGCTGATGAAGGCTTAAAGGGGAGGGGCTGATGATGAAGAAGAGACTGTGCTGATGAAAAGGAGATGCTGCTTATGAAGAGGAAGGGCTGGTGATGAAGGGGAGGGGCTGGTGATGAAGAGGAGGGGCTGGTGATGAAAAGGATGTGCTGCTGATGAAGAGGACGGCTGGTGAAGGGGAGGGGCTTTTGACGAAGAGGAGGGGCTGGTGATGAAGAGGTAGAGATGGCGATGAAGGGAAGGAGCTGATGATGAAGAGGAGGAGCTGATGAACAGAAGGGGCTGGTGATGAAAAGGTAGGGATGGTGACGAAGGGGAAGGGCTGTTGATGAAAAGGCAGTTAGTGATGAAGAGGGAGGTTGCTGATGAAGAGGAGGAGCTGATGAAGGGGAGGGGCTAATGATAAAGAGGAGGGGCTGCTGATGAAGAGGAGGGGCTGTTGATAAATAGGAGGGGCTGCTGATGAAGAGGAGGGGCTGCTGATGAAGAGGAAGGGATGGTGATGAAGAGAAGGAGCTGCTGATGAAGAGGAGGAGCTGATGAAATGTAGGGGCTGGTGGTGAAGAGGAAGGGATGGTGATGAAGGGGAGATGCTGCTGATGAAGAGGAAGAGCTGCTGATGAAGAAGAGGGGTTGGTGATGAAAGAATAAAGAGGAGGGGCTGCTGATGAGGGCTTAAAGGGGAGGAGCTGATGATGAAGAGGAGGGGCTGCTGATAAAGAGGAGATGCTGCTGATGAAGACGGGTTGCTGACGAAGACTTAAAGGGGAGGAGCTGATGATGTAGAGGAGATGCTTCTGATCAAAAGGAGATGCTGCTTATGAAGAGAGGTTGGTGATGAAAGGATAACGAGGAGCGGCTGCTGACGAAGACTTAAAGGGGAGGAGCTAGGGATGTAGAGGAGGGGCTGCTGATGAAGGGAAGGGGATGGTGACGAACGGATAAAGTGGGGCAGCTGTTGAAGGCTAATGAAGAGGAGGGGCTGCTTTAAAGAGGAGCGGCGGCTGATGAAGAGGAGGGGCTGCTGATAAAGGCTTAAAGGGGAGGAGCTGATGTTGAAGAGGTGGGGCTGCTGACGAAGAGGAGATTGTGCTGATGAAAAGGAGATGCTGCTGATGAAGAGGAGGGGCTGGTGACGAAAGGATAAAGAAGAGGGGCTGCTCATGAAGGCATAATGGGGAGGAGCTGATGATGAAGAGGGGTTGGTGACAAATGAGAAAGAGGAGGGGCTGCTGATGAAGAGGAGGTGCTGATGATAAAGGCTTAAAGAGAAGGAGCTGATGATAAAGACGTGGGGCTGGTGATGAAAAGGAGGAGCTTCTGATGAAGAGGAGGGACTTGTGATGAAAGGGAGGGGCTGCTGATGAAGAGGGGGGCTGGTGATGAAGGAGAGGGGCTGCTGATGAAGAGGAGTAGATGGTCACGAAAGGATAAAGAATAGGGGCAGCTGATGAAGAGGAGGGGCTGCTGACGAAGGCTTAAAGGGGAGGAGCTGATGATGAAGAGGAAACTGCTGATGAAAAGGAGATGCTGCTTATGAAGAGGAAGGGCTTGTGATGAAGGGGAGGGGCTGGTGACGAAGAAGAGAGGTTGGTAATAAAAGGATAACGAGGAGCGGCTGTTGATGAAGACAAGGGGCTGCTGACGAAGACTTAAAGGGGAGGAGCAAGGGATGTAGAGGAGGGGCTGCTGATGAAGAAGAGATGTTGCTGATGAAAAGGAGGGGCTGCTGATTAAGAGATGGTGGTAGGGATGCTGGGATGGTGACAAAGGGGAGGGGCTGCTAATAAATAGGAAAGGTTGCTGATGATGAGGAGGTGCTGATGAAGGCATGGTGATGAAGAGGAGGGGCTGATGATGAAGAGAAAGAATGGTGATGAAGGGTAGGAGCTGCTGATCGAGAGGAGAAGCTGATGAAGAGGAAGGGATGGTGATAAAGGGGAGGGACTGCAGATAAAAAGGAGAGGTTGCTGATAAAGAGGAGGGGCTGCTGATGAAGAGAAGATTGTGCTGATGAAAAGGAGACGCTGCTGATGAAGAGGAGGAGCTGGTGATGAAGGGCAGGTGCTGCTGATGAAGAGGAAGAGCTACTGATGAAGAAGAGTAGATGGTCACTAAAGGATAAAGAGGAGGGGCAGCTGATGAAGGCTGATGAAAGGAGGGGTTGCTGATGAAGAGGAGGGGCTGCTGATGAAGGCATAAACGGGAGGAGTTGATGATGAGGAGGGGTTGGTGACAAAAGGATAAAGAGGAAGGGCTGCTGATGAAGAGGAGGTGCTGATGATAAAGGCTTAAAGGGGAGGAGCTGATGATAAAGATGAGGGGCTGGTGATGAAAAGGAGGAGCTTTTGATGAAGAGGGGCTGCTGATGAAAAGGAGATGCAGCTGATGAAGAGGCGGGGCTTGTGATGAAGGGGAGGGGTTGCTGATGAAGAGAGGGGCTGGTGATGAAGGGGAGGGGCTGCTATGAAGGGCAGGTGCTGATGATGAAGAGGAAGAGCTGCTGATGAAGAAGAAGGGTTGGTAATGAAGACTTAAAGGGGAGGAGCTGATGATGCTGATAAAAAGGAAATGCTGCTGATGAAGAAGAATAGATGGTCACGAAAGGATAAAGGGGCAGCTGATGAAGGCTGCTGAAGAGGAGGGGCTGCTGATGAAGAGGAGATGCTGCTGATCAAAAGGAGGGGCTGCTGACGAAGGCTTAAAGGGGAGGAGCTGATGTTGAAGATGAGGGGCTGGTGACGAAAGGATAAAGAGGAGGGGTGCTGATGAAGGCATAAAGGGAAGGAGCTGATGATGAAGAGGGGTTGGTGACAAAAGGATTAAGAGGAGGGGTGCTGATAAAGAGGAGGTGCTGATGATAAAGGGGAGGAGATGGTAGATGGTCACGAAAGGATAAAGAG